CCCCCCAACAATTGATTTTGTTTTTCAGGACTGGCACTTTTGTTCTTCATCATTGTCAACTTACGCTACAAAGGGCCCTTTTCATTTAGAATTAGTCGGTCGAATCGCTGGCCAGACTGAAACTCCCTGCAGGCCAGATAGTCCGCGGACCGTATTTTGCCAATGCCTCCTCTTAGTTGTCGTGTCAAAGGCACGCGAGCAGTTCGTTTTACATAACGATAAAATAGTGCTGCTCTCACAGGAGTCATCTTGGTTGTTTTCTTAGCTTTTAAAGACTCAACTTCGCTAGATTTACAAGCACTGTCTTAATTAAACAAACTTAGTTTTGTAAGTATGGTAGGGTTTAACTAAAGCATTCGCAACTGAAGCATTTTATTTCAGAACCGAAAGATTGAGTGTACAAGATAGCACTAAGCTCACGTGTATGAATCACGATAAGCCAGAAATATTTCTCAGTGGTATGGGGTCTGCTGGGGTAATAATAGTGAAAAACGCATATTATAGATCTTGCTGTCGAGCGGGGTATGCGCTATACAAAATGCTATTAATATTATCATTAATAATACTGAAAAAAGTAACACAGTAGATATAGATTTGCTTACCGGGGCGCTGTGCTGATTTAATCCTTGTGAATACACACAAAACAGCTCCGAGAACTCAAAAGTGGCATTATCTAGATCTAGGGATGTAGGGCAGGCGGCCTCGAGTTATAATTTTTTGTTTGTTTTTTGTTTTTAGTTTGTTTTTTCTCTAGTTTTCGTGTATTTCTTTGCGGAAAGCCGACGGACCAAGATGGTTTTATGATTCTTCTCGGATAGGGAAAAGTTGGTAAAATGGGGACGCGGATGGGTTGAGACGTGGGGTTTTAGGGGGCGGGGGTAAAGTATTGAGTGTGGGGTTGGGACTTGAGGCGGCACGTTCTGCCTCGTGGAAAAGGCGCATAGTGCGCGTGTGTGCGCGTGTGTTTGTGTGTGTGTGTGTGTGTGTGTGTGTATGTGTGCGTGAGAGTGTGTTTGTATGTGTATGTGTTTGTATGTGTTTGGGTGTGTGTGTGTGTGTGTGTGTGTTGGAGGGAGGTGAGACGGGGTGAGGGAGGAGTGGAAGGAGAGGGGTGGTGGA